ATGATAAATTGAGTATTTATTTTGAGATACGAGGAGTGGTTCGACGAGTTGGCTCCTGAACTCGTCGAGTAGGATCGCGACTTGGTGACGTGGAAAATGAATGGACTCGACGAGGCAGAAACTCTAATTTTCTTGGGCTTGGGCCTATTTAAAGGCACTTATGGCCTCCTTGGCCCTTTCCCATAAATGTCTTCGTCCCTTGAGAGAAACCCTAGAGTCATTTGTGAGCTAGAGAGGAAAGAGGCTAATTTGAGGTCATATCTTTGAGAAGAGGATCAACGGTGTTGCAAGAATCTTAGAGGAGAGTTGGGGGATCAGTTTCATCATCATTTTAAGCTTCAGATCGGGTATAAGCTCTTGCCTTCCTTGTGTTTGGATAGATTTTCCATTGGTTGGTAAGTTAGGGCTTGTATCACCATTTTGATGGGTTTTCGGTGCATCCAAACCCTTTCTCGAGTTATTCTTTAGATCTGGACCTTGTGAGGTCCAGAGAACCAGAAAGTAGCTAGCCATGTCTGGATAATCTTGGGGGTTTGAAGCTATGAAGCATTGAGAGGGCCAAAATGGTATATAGATCAATATACACCATGCATGAACCATAAGTTCAGACCTTTAAGTAACTTTTGGATGCTAGAAGGCCAGATCTATTAGTTAGAGTTCCGGATCTGACTTCAGAAGGCCATATGAGTGATGTAATGGAGACGACTCGCCGAGTCTATGAGATGACTTGACGAGTCGGATCAAATTTGCCCCACGATTCGTGACCCAGTGATAACCCGTCGAGTTGGGAGGTTAATGAAACGAGTCATGTGAGGCCTTAGGGGGATTCAGAGGATACGCATAAACTCGCAGAGTCACACGAGTGCACTCGGCGAGTCTGGTCAATATTAGACTGTTCACTGGAGTTGACTTCAGTTGACCTTAGGGTTTGGTCAAACTGATTAAGAGACGTCAGGAAAGGGTGGAATGGTCTTCTACCTATTTTCTAGGAATGTGAATTTAAGGAATGTATTAAATTATAAATTTTATCATTGTGATAGACGGAGGCTAGATCGAGGAGTTCGGGCACCAGATTTTCGCTAGCTATCTTACGAGGTGAGCCTTCTCACTATACTTACCTTGAGTAGTAACTTATGTGTGACCAGAGGGTCTTATGTGTATGTGATGTATTGAGATATCCTGCTATTTGTTTTGTGATATGCTTACTATGTATTATATTGAGATGCAAAGTCAAGGGACCAGAGGGTCCATCAGAGTTGTGGGGCCGGAGCGTCCCACTGGGACACATTGATCGGAGGGTCTTATTGAGTATAGCATCGAGTGGCTGTTGTGCTGTGTGTGGTATTTTTGGGAACTCACTAAGCTTTATGCTTATCATGTTATGTGTTTCAGGTAGTTCCGAGGATCGCAGCAAGGCACCGGCATGATTGTACACACTAGTAGGAGATTGTTTCTATGATTCTAGGATTGTGTTTTTACTTGTTGACATTTGAGACATATGTGATTTGGTGAATTGTGAAATGAGTTTTAATTGTATTAAAAATGAAAATTTTGTTTGGAAATTTACGTCGTTACAAAGTAACTGTGCAAGATGGGTTCGAGCAGAACAAAAATAATTCTAGTTCTGCTGAAAAGGCTTCAAAAAACCTATGATGATGATAATCCCACTGTTCAAAAGTTCAAGACACAAAACTTTGTTAAACAGTCTAATAAATGTGCTTGTGCTTATGGAAGGTCTTTGAAACAACCTTCATTTGGACAAGGACCAAGTCACAATCTTATTTATTTGAAAAGACAAACTTTTTTTAACTGTAGGACTCTCGGTCACACTGCTGGAAATTGCCCACATCGCTAATATGTTCCCTACTATAAACAAAGGTGACAGAATGTGCCAAGGGGGAGATCTGTGACAACTCGAAATTTCTATCTTATAACAATCCCTGCATTCACTCAAAGTCAAACTTTCAATTGCTAAATTTTAGCAATTTTGGAGTCAGTTTGAGTGTTCTAAAGCCTAGTACTTCAAGAGATAACAGGAGAGAGGATGCCCTAGGGTTTATTGTGCAACAATAAAGTCTCAAAACTCTAAGATTTTGGAGTTTACGGCCTAACCATGGTGTTTACGGCCGTAAACCCCAAGGGGTATAAATATGACACTTAGTCATATTTATCACTTTTTCACACTTTCAAGAACTAGAACTCGAAATCCTCTCAAGTATCATCCGATTTTCCTTCTTGATCTTCAAATTTGTAATTTTTTCTTGCCCTAACTAGTTGATATCTTACTTGATCTAGAGATCTTACATGATTTCATCCGTGAAATCATTCCATTTTTGTAGATCTTCAAGTGTTCTTAATTTCACCAAGAACACCAAGAACGCACACTAGTGTTCTTGGACCTTAAACACCCAATCAAGCTTGTATCTTGTAAGTACACTTTCCCTAGCTTTTTGTGTGCTTGAATGATCTTGTTTACACTTAGAAAACACCAAAAAAGCATAAGATTAAAGGTTTTTATGGATAAGGGATGTTCTTGGGCCATAAACCCTTACAAGTGGGGTTAAATGAACCCTAGTCCCTTCTTTGGCCTTGGACACTAGTCTAGAGCACATCCTTGAAGTGTTTAGGACCTTAAACATCAAAGAAACCATGTCCACATAGAGTTTACGGCCGTAAACTCATAAGGAAATGGTCCTTAGGCCGTAAATTCTATAAAGGGGTGATATTGTGGCCTTAATGCTTCCTAAGGCTTGGACTTAATCAATAGATGCTCAATCTTGACTTATAAGACCTCAAAACACCCAATGGCACTTAGTACCATGAGTTTAAGGCCGTAAACTCATGGGGGAAATGACCTTAGGTCGTAAACTCCATAAGGAGTGGTCCTTGGGCCATAAACTCCAATGCCATGCCATGCAACCTTTAGATGCAACCCTTCGGTACCTATAGCACTTGAATCAAAGTGTTTCCATGTCCTAGGGTGTCTTAACTTTGTTAATTAGTTGTTAAATGACTAATTGGATACATATGTGTTTCATTATATGTTAACTAGGATCATTGTGTGTGTTCAAGTCTCCACTTGAGACCTAGCACCTTGTCCAACACTTCCGAACAATCCACTCACAACAGGTGAGTTCATACCCCTTAATTAACCTTTTAAATGTTTTTAAATGCTTTTATGGGGGGTGGGGATACAATTTGAATAATATTAGTTATTATATCAATCAAATGTGATTAATAACTAGTACACAAATGGATTTACTACGCTTTTAGCTGTTTTACCAAGTGTACTACTTCAAAATAGTTTCTCAAAACGTTTTTACATGTTAAACTCTTTATCAAACTGTCTTACATATTGTATCTTTCCTTTCAAACTCTGTTACAATTGTGTTTCAAACAAAGGATTTCTTATACTTTAAAATGTTCTTATCAAACAAACTGCTTTCAAATCATTTTATAAACTGACATCAAGTCATCAATTCTTATTTATTAAACTTTTCAAAGGTTTTACCAAAACTTCTTTTATACTTTTATATTGTCAATTGCATGCCTAGATATGTATAGTTATATAAATAATGTTTAAAGGACTTATGACTGCTAACTCGCTTTATTTCCCTTTCCTTGTTAGGATGTGTACTTAAGGTATCGGTTAGTTGTTCGAATGTCGTCTAAATATTAGTTATATATTATGTATACATATATAGACATAAAAGTTCTATCAGTCAATTCAGTACCTTTGGGTAGCAAAGGCATACTTTCGGTTATTTACATACATTACTAGTAACTATAATAGGTATAGTTAGGAGATACTATTTACTATTCCTAGTACAATTGTTAAAAGCATGTCTAGATATGTATATTTATATAAATAATGTTTAAAGGACTTAGGACTGCTAACTCGCTTTATTTCCTTTTCCTTGTTTGGATGTGTACTTAAGGTATCGGTTAGTTTGCCGAAGGTTGTCTAAATCTTAGATATATATTATGCATACATATGTAGATATAATGGTTCTAATTAGTTAGTTTAGTACATTTGGGTAGCAAAGGTATACGTTCATATATTCATATATATATATATATATATATATATATATATATATATATATATATATAAATTCCTAGTAAGCTATTATAGGTATAGTTTTGGGTATCTATATGATTTCATAACATTAATGTGGATTATTCAACCAAACAATTCGTTGCGGAAGTCACCTTTAGTTCCCAGAATCTCTTATCACTACTAGAAAACAGACCTTTAATGACGCGCTTTTTACGACATGCACTGATTAATGATACGCAAAAGGACGTGCCCTTAAAATAGTGTCATCTCTCCAAAAAAATTTAAGGATTCACGTCACGCATTATTGCGTGCCCTTAATTTAGTGTCTCAAGAAAAAAAATTAAAAACACGGAGGGCACTTTATCTTAAACGCGCGTCGTCTGTACCTGTCGCTTTATAATTTTAATGAAACGCGCTTTTAGTAGACAAGGGGGGAAACGAAATCCCTAAAATTTTGAAAACCCGCCTCATATTTTCTATCTTCTATTTCTCTCTCTCTCTCTCTCTCTCTCTCTCTCTCTCTTCTCTTTCAAGCCCTAATCCCTAAACAGCCTCCACCAACATCTGAACGAGCCCTCGCCAGTTACCTCTACTCCATCATCAAGCTCTTGCTCCGCCTATAGAGGTGTTGGCGCTGCTGGTGGTTGTCCTTCAGCTTCAGCGACACCTCTTCACGATTATAGTCCGTAGCAGCTCGTCTTCCTCTCTCTCTCTCTAGCTTTCTCTCTCTCTCTCTCTCTCTCTCTCTCTCTCTCTCTCTCTCTCTCCCTTCTCTTTCAAGCCCTAAGCCCTAAACAGCCTCCACCAGCATCTGAACGAGCCCTCGCCAGTTATCTCTACTCCACCAGCAAGCTCTTGCTCCGCCTATGGAGGTGCTGGCGCTGCTGGTGGTTGTCCTTCAGCTTTAGCCACGCCTCTTCACGATTATAGTCCGTAGATAATGATTTGTGTTTGTGAAGCAACAACAGTTTTGACAACCGCGATGGCGGAGAAGTTGTATTTGTGTCTGACAAGACTGGTGGCAGCGGTAGCTATCCTCCAACCCATCTCTCCTCTCCGCCACCGTCGCTGACCTAAGCGCCGCCTGTAAGAGTTCAATAGGTTTCGATGATTTGCTTCCTGGCTTTGGAAGCAGCGGTTCTCCATCTAGTAGCAGGTACTGTGCTATGATTTAACTCTCCGCCACCGTCGTGTTCCTCCCTTATACCTTTTACTATCTTTTATCTTTTATGTTGTGTATCTGTTATTGATTCTCCCCTATATAATATAACCACCATCTGTAGGAGTTTATTCTCAAAGAAAATCTGCCAAAGTCAACTCCTGTAACCCGTATTGGTCAAGGTCATGAGACAAGTTCATTTAAATTCAACTTTGCTTCTTGGTCAGTAGCTTTAGCAGCTTCTGCTCCTGAGGAAACTAGAGGAAAAGTAGCAGGTAGATTCATTCTATATCTTATATATATTTTTGTTACATGGGACATGGGTGTTTGAGTTTTCTAGGGCTATTTTTGACTTTTTCTAAAACTTACCCTAAGTTCTACTCTTGTTCTAATGACTAGCTCTGCTGAAGCAACAAGTTGCTTTTGCCAAAGGTCAGACAAAAACGGCTCCTGTAGAGGAGGAAGTTCCACCTTTGCTTGGAGAAAATGGAAAAATTGAGGTTTCAGATCATAAACTTGTTGCTACATTTAGATTTAATGTAGAAAGATAAAATAATTGTTGGCTCTTTAGGTATGGTGTATTGATGGTGAACAAAAGACGGAATTACCCAAGGAGGATATTGGAAAATTTTACAGTGGAGATTGCTATATTTGTCTTTACTCCTACCATTCTGATGAAAAGAAAGAAGATCACTACCTGTGCTGTTGGATTGGGAAGGATAGCATCCAGGTAAACTAAAACCATATTATTTCATTTCTTTTCTTTTTTTTAAGAAAAAAAAATCTTTAATTGTGTATTTGGGATGAAGACTTGTTATGTTGTCTGATCACAGGAGGACTAAAAAATAGCTGTTCAACAAACTACTTCAATGTTCAACTCTATGAAATGCAAACCTGTTCAGGTACCATAAATATAATAGCTTTTTTTACTTGTTGCACTGCTGATTATATATAAATTTAGTTTTGAAATATTAGTATCTTATCGTAGGGTCGAATGCATCAAGGAAAAGAAGCACCACAATTTGTTGCTATCTTTCAGCCTATGGTTGTTCTCAAGGTACTCTCTTCCACTTGTAGTAGTTGTAAAAGATATAGCTCTAGAAGAAGGATGTTAACTATGGTAAATATTTGGTTTTACTTTTACTAGGGTGGATTGAGCTCTGGTTATAAAAACTACATTGCAGAGAAAGGACTGCATGATGAGACCTACAGTCCAGATACTGGTGCACTGATTGAAATATCAGGAACTTCAGTTCATAATAATAAAGCTCAACAAGTAGACAGGGTATGGAAACCAGAGTACACCTGAACAGCAGAAATTAGCAGCAAAAGTTGTTGAACTTTTGAAGGTATGCTTTTTAAATTATTGTTCTTACATATTTATTTACTTTTATACCCCTTTCCAATCCTTGATAATTTATTCAACTCTTTTTTCTTATATCTTTAGTCTGGAGTACCTGTAAAATTCTCTAGAGAAGGAAAAGCGAGCTTAGCTTTCTGGCTTGCACTTGGTGGAAAAAAAAGCTACTCAAGTAGCAAAGTAACACAGGAAATCATCCATGAACCTCACTTGTTTGAAGTAATAAGCAATAAAGGTTTCAAAACCATAAACCATCATCTATCTTTCACATGTCCATTTTTGCTGATTATATCCACCAACTGTTTTTATCATCTTATTTTCCTTCACAGGAAAGTTAGAGATTGAAGAAGTTCACAGCTTTGAACAAGATGACTTGTTTCCAGAGGATGTCTTGATATTAGATACACATGCTGAGGTCATCGTTTGGGTTGGTCATTTAGCACAGTCAACGGAAAAACAAAATGCTTTTGAAACTGGCAAGGTACATATAATAATAATAATTATACAAATGCAAAATTATACGTTGTATTGGTTGGTATGTTTTTTTAATAAGTTGATTTCAGAAATATGTAGAGCTGGCTGCATCTATGGATTCCTTGTCCCCATCTGTCATATTATACAGAGTAACAGAGGGAAACGAACCTTGCTTCTTCACAACATATTTCTCATGGGATCCTGCAAAAACTACTGTATGTATACATATGTATTAATAATTAATAATTAATTTGTATCTCATTTTTCTCTTTCTCAATGGAACCAGGCTCACGGAAATGCATTCCACAAGAAGGCTGTGCAACTCTTCGGCTCAGGCTGTGTAGCAGAGGTATTTCTTATATAAAAAGTTTTTTTTTTGGATTATTTTTTTTAAGTGGCCCCTATCATATTATTTTATTACAACAGAGCCAAGATGTTAAGCCCCCGGGAAATAAACTTAGTGGGGCCACCCAAAGAGCATCAGCCATGGCAACTTTAACCTCTGCTTTTTCAAAATCAACTACTGCTCCTAAAACTCCTCAACATGGACCACCTCCAAGAATGCTAGCTCGTGGGTCCCAGAGAGCGGCGGCAATAGCCGCCTTATACTTTATATACTCTTGAACCATGTAATTTACTTTTTACCCTCAGTAGCAACATAGTTGCTGTTTCTTTAAACTTGATTTTGAATGTGTGTTTTTGTCATTAGTGATCCTCACTGGTTCTCCAGATTGTTCTATTCTTGCAATTGATATTGAAATAGGATCTCCAGTTAGTTATGGATGGATGTTCATACAATTAGGTATTATTTTCAATATTCATACAGTTAGTTATGGATGGATGTTCCAGGTATTATTTTCAATATTCATACAATTAGGGATGTTCATACTTGAGGTATTGTATCACTTTTAATGAAGTTTGAAATGCATATAGTAAAAGATTAGGTCGATTTACCTTTTTTTTTTTTTTTTTTTTAGGAAATCAAGGAAAATGGCACCACCATATAGAGTGATGCTACACAATGACAACTACAACAAGAGGGAATATGTTGTGCAAGTGTTGATGAAGGTTATACCTGGAATGACAGTTGACAATGCAGTTAATATCATGCTCTTGACCTGGACACCACTCTAAATTGTAACTTACTCTAAATTTTATATGTAAATTTTATTTTATCTTTTGAAGGGAAATTTACTGAATATTGATTGGTTGATGCAGTTAACTAGAATTGGTCGAGATGCAGTTTTATAGGTTGAGTCGCTCATTGAGTCAATCATGGGAGGATTGGAAGGGCTAATCAACATTCTTGATTATGAAGGAGGTTTCAGCTCTTTGGAGACACATTTTCTTACTATTTTATCAATTTCCTTAAAAAGTTACCAAATTCATGTATTAAATTTGATAAAGCTAACTTAATTGCTTTTTTTAAATCCTAGCTTCTACCAGAAGTCAGCTGAAACTACAAATGGCTTTTGATGGGCAGGAAAGATATATGAAGGTATGATCTATATTGTAATTCAGATTCTATAACTTTTATTATGTAATCTCTTAAGTCTTAATACCCATTATTCCTTATGCATGTAGAGATCTTGGGAGCCAAATGATAAAGCTGATCTTCACTTTGTCTACAAAGATGTTGAAGGAGTATCAACTCAATGGGATGATATTCAAAGAAAACTCAGGAACTTACCTCCCAAACCCTCTGCCTTCAAACCCGATCCCTTCACTCCTATAGAAGACGAAGATTCCAAACCTAAAACCAAATCTCGGATCGATAACAAGACAGAAGAACTCAAAGATTTAAAAGATGATCTTGATGATAGTTGTTTCCTCGAAGAATACAAGTACCTTCAACTCCCTTATTCCTAATATCATTTTATGAGGGTATTAAATTTCATGTGATATTCTCATGGTTTCATTTTCTTTTGTGTTCTTGAAGCAGAAAGAGGTTAGCAGAGATGAAGCAAACAATGGAAGTTTGAACTCGGAAAGTCCGGGCAGCTATGGTGGCCCGGGCAGCATCTATTTCAATATTGATTGTGTGAAAGTCATCTACTAAAGCAAGGTTGGTGTAAGAGTTAATGATGAGAACATTGTTCCAAGACCTTCAGTGAGTTATGATGATGTCCCTTAATAGCAATGTAGTATTAGGTTATATAGTTACCGATGATTATTTGTATTTGACATTTTATGCAATGATTATCTTACTTATTTATTGTATTTTATTTTGTATCTTATATGACATTAATTTTTGTGCAATGGATTGTATTTTTTGTATATGGTGTTTTATTTCTATTATGAGAAATTAAATGCAAATTTAATTTAAAAATTAATAAATATATAAATTTATTTTTTTAAACATTTAAATTTACGATACGCAAAAATGTGTGTCATCTTCATTTATGACATGGCCTTTCTTGACAGGGGCTTTCTTGATACGCATTGCGTGTCATTAACACGCGCGTCGTAAGGTTACGACACGCGAACGCGTGTCGTCTTCCTTTATGACAGGGCCTTCCTTCATACGCATTGCGTGTCGTAAATGCGCGTCATAATTGCATGTCGTAAATGAGCGTCGTAAAAGCGCGTCGTCTCTCTTTATGACAGGGCCTTCCTTGACGCGCATTTGCACGTCGTCTGAGCCTTTTACGACGTGCAATGAGCGTCGTAAAAGGCTGTTTTTCTAGTAGTGTATATTGAGAACTTTTAGTATGGGGACTATCAATCACATTATTACTTACTTTCAGCGGGTCTTGTGAGAAGACTAATTACTTACTTTCAGCGGGTCTCGATAGAAGACTACTTACTTACTTTCAACGGGTCTCGTTAGAAGACTACTTACTTACTTTCAGCGGGTCTCATTAGAAGACTACTTACTTACTTTCATTCGGGTCTCGGTAGAAGACTCCTTTTATACTAATAGAAAATATGGGATTTTCTAGGAAGTTCAAACGTTTACAATTACTTACAAACATTTTCATTGATACTTATACAAATAATGACATTAAATACTTATGAATTCACCAGCTTTATGCTGATACTCGCTTTCAAAATAACTTGTATTCTCAGGTCACCAATAGACAGGTACGATGACCAGTTTTTGTGAATACGGAGCAGTCAAGAGTCGTCTTTTATTTTGAATATTCATTATATTGTTTTATTCTATGAAAGAACACACTTATATTTAAAATTATACTATTAATGCAATGGATGATGTTGTTGCTTGTTTACTACTTTGCATTGTTGTGATACTTTACATGACGTCCTCCGCCCCAAAACGTTTCTGTCGTTCTTGGTTTTGGGGTGTGACAAGATTTTCTAAAAGAAATCCTTCAACATCATGTTCACTCATTGGTGATTGGAATGCTAAAAGGACTAGAAGCCTAATTTGAGAGATGGTTCGACCAAACCGAATTCGGTGAGGTTGAATTTATCTCAAGGATTGTCCTCTAGCTTACGCTTGAGATTCAAGTCTAAATCAAAAGGTAGTTGAATTTCAAAATCAAGTGTTGAAGCACTCATTAGGTTCAATATTAAAGTACTTAAACCTAATTACCAATGGGTTCTCAAAGGTCAAATTTAAAAATTGTCCAAAAGTCCTATAACTTCTTTATGTTCCTTATCTGATAAACAGGATATGCCATGAGAAAGAGTATCTTGTGTAGATAGTAATGGTAAACCCAGTTTCAAAATGGACTGAGTTCCTAAAACCAATTAATCCCACACTCTATGTCAGAGCAGCTATGGAGGACAATCATCAGATTTCAGTATGCTGATAGTGGTTGTCCTTGGCACATGACGGAGACATCTCTCAACTTCATGACATTTAGAACTTTAATTGAAGGTATGTGTCCTTTTTGGGAAGGGAGAAAGAAAAATCACACATATGGGGACTGTATTTAATGGCGTGTTGAATTTTGAATATATTAAATTTGTTCCGAAATTGAAACATAGATGAGGCTAAATACGTTGTTGTTTCTGCATGATGTTCTCAAGTAATCTGGATGCAACTTCAATTGTTTAATTATGTTTTAAATTTTCTTGATACCCCTAGTTTTTTCTTAAAATGATTCGTTTAGAAGACTAAAGTTCTTGTTGTTCTATACATTTTGTATTTTTTTTGTTTTTCTTAAATTTGTTCATATTTTCCCTCTATGCACAAATTTAGGGGGAGAATTAAAACTAAAAAAAATCATAAAATCGAAATATCCAAAAATATGTTTATTTTATTTATGTTTTATTTCTTTTTTAGAAAAATCAGAAATCCAAAAGTATTTTTATTTCTTTTGAGAGTATTTTAAATTTATTTTATTTCTTAGTTATTCTTATTATGTGTTATGTTTATTTTATTTTTATTTTTTATCTCAAAAATTTCATTTGTCTTAAAATTTGAATTCAAAAGAAGAAGAGACTCATGGAGTGTGTGTCAGAACTTTCTGTGCTAAAAGTGGTCTTGAAAGGAATTGGCGCAATTACACTTCACACTTCTTTCACAAGGAATTGAAGGCATGAAACCGTACAAATTGTTAGTTAGGCAGTTTCTCTCTAAGAACTGTTGTGTTCACAAAACAGAAGGCATGAAACTATAGAAACTATCAGTTAGGTAGTATCTTTTTAAGAACTATCGCATTTTTAAGGTATTAAAAGTCTGAAACTGTACAAATTGTCCAATTGGTCTTGTCAGTTATCTTTACCTAAGAACTATCTTGACAGTAGAGTGATTCACCCAGTCGGGAAATAGATATCGCTAAACATCCCGTCCAGGGTCTTGACAATCCTTTTGTCATTCAAAACTGCGGAGACTCAAATGCATTCTCAGACACATGCTTCGTAGGTAAGGAATTAATGGTTATTGGCACTAGGACGATGCACCTTGCAAGGCACGATTATCTCTGAACATCATGCCAAAGGGCCTTGACGCCTTGACCTCGTGTCATGCTAAACTGTGGAAATATGTATTCGGATATTTTCTAATTAACTCTCACTTACACTATAATGGTACACTAAGTTGAGATTCAGAAACCATTGAATGTCTCGCCAAGGGCGAAGTTAACTTGTTAACTTGAAAAACTATATTAAGATCTTTGATTAAGGATATGCATGGGCAAACATCAAAAATAGCCATGAGTAGTTCTTCGATACTCAACAAATCGCAATGTGTTCCTCTGTGTTCACACAGATATTGCGAGTAGTCTCCATCTGAGACAAGGCTGGGTCCTTGAACAACTGTGGTGAGAAGGGTCTTTATGAATCTGTGACCCATAGGGACTTTTTAGACATGGTTTCTTTTCAATACGCATCTGTGATCGTCAAAGAATTTTCAGTCGAAAATGAAGATTATTTTTCAACACACAACCTTTAAACCCCAGAAGCAAGGTGAAACTGTTTTTGAAGTTATGTGATGAACTTCATTGAAGCCTCCTCAATCAATTTGCTACTATCTATGAACTTCCTGAAGTGGTCCAGAAGAATCGGTCTCTCTGTTATTATCTCTAAAGTTTGTCAAAGCTGAAAGGGTTTAATTACAGGAACCTATACAAGAAGCCTCTATTCCCATTAAGCGTTCAAATTCAATTTTTAAAGAAAGTCCAACTATTCAAGATGAAGTCATTCATGCAGAAATTCATATGTTCATCTTGAAGCTGTGAAAAAATTGAGGATAAACGATAAAGGTCAAGAACAAAGAGAATACTGAAAAGAAAAGAAAGCTATAAATCAAGGGGGAGATTGTTAGGACATGATTTATGGTTTATACTTTACTATTGATGACTTTTAGAGTTATCAGTCTAGGACCGAAAACACCATATTCTCGGTGGTGTTTGAACCAAAATCACCATGTGATTTCGGTGGGCTTAATCAGGATTTCGGTTGGGTTTTGGGTTGGGCCTTTTTAAATAGGTCTAGGTATATATATATATATATATATATATATATATATATATATATATATATTATTGTTTAAGTCATGTAAAGGGTTGATAATTCCAAGAAGCTAAGATCGAGTTTAGAGAGAAAGAGAGAATCGAGAGAGTAATTGTGAATCCTATGTACTAGAATATTATTCAATATAGTGTTCATTGAAGATTCGTTAACTTTGTTCTTAATTCGAGATCACCGGTTTGCATAAATCAATGAATTAGGATTCCACACCAATTCTAGTGATTTTGATTGATACTTAAGATTGGGTTTTACAAGATGATATTACACCTAACACTTTCAACCCTTAAAGTTGATGCCACAACTAAAACCTCAGCTATGGACCACCTCCTTAGTCACCCCTAAACACTAATCAACATGAATGGAAAAACTACTAAATCGTAACGACACGGAAGAGTTAACCTGCTGAATCCTCACCAAAAACCCTCCATACAACGACCCTGAACCTATCTCGACTACCACTTAACATGAAATTGAACACTTCGATCTTGCTAAATGAGAAATGACCCTTCAGTAAACCACTAATGATTCATGGTATACAAAAGATGTAAGATACCACCCGAAGATATAGCCCAACGATGAGATGATCACAACCCAAATATAACACGAATCCAACATAATATAAGATTCCAAGCAACAAGAAACTGATAGGAACAGAAAGAATTGTAAATGATAACTCACCCACCGAACCACCTACTGGAGGACAGGCTTCCCAAGCCTCCCCTGGAGAACAATCTCTATTGACATGCTCAACTTGCTATGCTCGTAGCAACCTATACTTCTAGATTGGCAAGCTCCAATGTGCCTTTCTCGCACACGCTACACCGACCCTGACCCTACTGGCCTCTCCAAACATGTTCAGAAGTATTGGATCTCTTCCCGAGGTATCCAAAATCAAGTTCCCGCCCTCAGACTCTTGGATTCATATTGTT